CTGACAAAGCCCCCTCTTTGAACACTTTTGCCTTTTTTGAATTTGTTACTTCTTTATTTGCGTTCAACATCGATTCGTGATTTTTCAGCTTCTAAAATGTTTTAGCAGCTTTTTTTTTTTCGACCCCCTTAACGAATATTTGTGCTCATCTGACAAAATGTAATGCGGCGCAATGAACCTGGTGTTTCAAGTCTCTTCCCTTGCTCTGTAATCTGTATATCTGAGTATTAGCGAGAGTGTCGTTAAGCACCGTATGCAAATTTTTTTGCGTTAGTGATGTTGATTGGACTGAGTGATGCCGTTAGTGATGATGATTGAGTTTAGCGATGCCATAGTGATTGCAGTGTGAACAAAAGTTTATTCCATGAGTTAAGAAACAACAGTGGAGGTGAAAATGATAAAAATATTTTGTCGATAATGCAGATACAAAAAAAATCAAAGCTGAAGCAGAAATGGGTGCCTCAATGGCAAAAGTAATGCTCTGTAACAAAGGTCCCCAGTCCACGTATTTGAGAGAAGGGAACGTCACTGAGCTGAAGCACAACCTTCGGAGCTAAATAAAATATGACGGTGAACAACTGGTTCTGCTAAATCCAATCTAATGCTAAAGTTTCTTCCAAGTATCGGATACTGGAAGTACTGTGCAGTGGCCATTCTTTTTTTAGCCACAATTTAATGGTTTAAAGACGCCGTGCACTGCGTCTAATTAGACTAGTGCAACATGGCGCATCGGTTTTTCAACAAGAATACCAAGACCACCAGGGCAGTCGATGTGGGAATCCTATGTTAGTGATGATACTAGGAATGCTTCCACATGCCGGATACAATTTTGCCAATCCTTTCGATCCTGGACTGCATATTTCCAACTCGCATCCACTGCATGTTCGATTTATATGGACAACCAGCGCCAGTCCGGCTTTATAGCTCACAAAAAATGCATGATCTATGGTCCTTTAGTATGCATTACTATTTTGATGTGCTTCTCAATTCAGCATTAGTTTAACTGCATCTAGAGGCATTTGGCAGTAGTTCAGCATGTATTGCGCTTTCCTGCAAAAAAATTCTCTGTTGTCTTGTACTGCAATCTGCTCAGATTTTCTTCTCTAAATGAGCGACTTTGTTCCTGTAGAGCTCGTCATGCCATTTTCAGCGACTAGAGTTAGCAAACGAAAAAAAGGCTATTCATATGGTACTTTGCAAATCATATGAAAAATATTGGTGGCAAATTAGTTTAAAAGTTAAACCATCCCTTCTTCTTTGCCTCGGTATTCACTCTCTATGAGAAGCCAAGGCACTCAGGACTAACCTCAGTGATAGTACGTACTGGCT